GAGGACATACTTATTAAGTATGAAGGATTCAATGAACCCTAACAGAAATAAGATACCTGGTTCTGAAGTCCAGGTTTAAGTGCTAATGTTGGCTTAAGCTTCGCCAGAAGTCAGACAGCACTGTAGTAACTTCTGGAGACTCATCAGAGAAGACCTGGCTACACATCTTGATTCTATAGAGAAGATCTAGATGCGTCTTGGTTCTGTGTTTATTTATAGTAACAATACTAACCAAGAGGCTTGAGCACAGTACTCATGCATAACAAGTGCACAACATCTGTTGAACTGAAATGACTCATTAGTGTGAATCGGCCAATCACTTGAACATACTGATCAGCATTTCTTGACTTTCGTGCACTTTAAGGTCAATTTTTTGCTGCTACCACATCACATCATCTCTAACACTGATTTCTCCCAAATCCATCTCCAGTCTCTCACTAGGGACCATTCAGTCCCCCACTGTCATTTACTTACAGGATGTTTTAACACATTTCTTTCCATTTTCTCACATTTTGTGTATTTAAAGTTGAACCTCTTGTTTACTCACCCTAGTTTAGCTATTGCCTACCCACCTACCCACTTATCTCACTACTGGACTGGCACTCAACCTCTCTAAGAATGCCTCCCTTAGTTGGAGATGAATGTGTGCACACTCAGAGAAAGTTTAGTCTTGTCCTCCATTCCTACTGATATACTTTTGTAATTCCATTTCTTAGCACTCATGCTTTCTCTGTCCTGCTGGAGGCTTGGAAAAGATAATACGGACCAGCAGTTGTAAGGCACTGAGGAATACCTTGAGTAGCTCTGAAGACAACCCAACTTTGACTCATCTCTACCACCTAGCACAGGAGGCCCAAGTTTGATTTTTCCCTCTCTAAAATGTGACTCGGAACCCTGACAGCACAGTAGTTAAGTGCTTGGCTGCTAACCAAAAGGTCAGCAACTCAAAGCCACCTGCCGCTTCTTGGAAACCCTATGGGACAGCTCTACTCTATCACATAGGGGTGCTATGAGTTAGAATCAATTTGACAGCAATGGGTAAAATGTAACTTATGCTATGTCTTATATACAATAACATGGTCCTTCAAGGCAAAGATACCGTGGTCTTGTATGTGTTTCTGTTCTCTTTGGGAGTGACCTTAATTCATTTACTAGTAATGCAAAAGGATCAGTCCTGATTTCTAGAGTCTTATTGCCAGGACCCTAGTTCTCTTCTATTTTGAAAGGAAGTGGGCAATATACTCCACAAAACAATAATCTTATCACCTTATCAAATACACACAAAATCTGGCTTGTTCTACATTCCAACCTATTTCAGGGCCCTCGAGGGGAGCTGGCCCTTTCACTTTATTTTCTCAGAAACTCTTCCTCTGATTTCTCTTGCTGGTGCCACCTCTACAGCACTCACATCCCCTGCCTTGTGGTTGACACAGAAATTCCTTCTCCTTTTGACCTCCTATACCTCCTCCCCATCCCAATCCAGCCCCATGGCCCTGCTTTCTCTTTTATTCCCTTTTGTTTCCTATGCTCAGAGTTCCTCCTCTTCTGGTGCATAAAGCTTATCAGTTCTTCTGTCCTGTTTTGTTCTCAGCTAGGATGATGGAGCCTGAAGGCCTGGAGGGTAGAAAAGGGGAACTTAAAAAGGGAGGGCTTCACAGTGGTCTGACTTCATGGTATGGTATCTAAATTAAAAAAAAAAAAAAATTAGCTCTTTCATACTTTCCAAATGAATAATTTTGTAGGCATTTCCTGTGTGATATTTTGCTAAAAGAGTATTTCCCTTTGTCATCCAACCAGATGTCTGACTCCAGAAGGAGGAAAGGAGTAGAAAGAAAGGGGGGCGGGGAGGGGCGAGAAGCCATCCTGCTCTGTTGTTGAAGGTGGCATAGGTTATACATAACACAACATTTATCTGTGACATTTTACCAAATTAATTGAGGAGTATCTTACAAACGGGGCTTTGCCTACAGCATTTTCCCTGGAAAGAATTCCACAAGCAAAGCAAAACAAAATAAATAAAAACAGTGTAACAAAGAGTATGCACTGGGCTCAGTTCTGGAGATTTCTAGAAGGAAATATTCTGAGACTTGGGATCTTTTCAGCAGACAGCGTAACAGTAGGGAGAGTCGAAGAATTGGTTTAACTTCAGTAGAAATAGTTTATAGTCTCCATGTGTCTGAGCCATGTCCGCAGTTAAATTCCCAAACTAGCCTACTTGCATCCATCCTGGTGTAAAAATATGCTGTACAGATATCAGTTCAGCATCTCTCCTCCCAAATCCAATTACAAAAATCCATGAGAATTCAAACCATGGCAAGGAACTAGGATTTAAAAACTGACTGTATACTTGCTTTTCAATAGGTGGCCTGTGTCTGATCTAACCCTAAAAACAGGATAAATGGTCATTGGAGCAACACATACCAGAATTAGTAGTTTAGCAAATAACAGGTGGTAGTTGTCCGTTTCATTTGGCATCCTTAACTGAAAAAATCTTATGTTCCTATATGTTAATATGTCATTATGAGAATTTAATTATCTGTTTATTATCTGGAAAGTATAAATTTAATTAGAAATAGGTATTTGGTAATTCTCTGTGTTGTGAATGCACCGTTAACAAACATCTCATAACTCCAACTCTTTTTCCCCCGCCTTAAAGTGTCATTTAGATAGTTTCCATGCTATCTTGAGCCAATTTTGAAACCTAATGATGGATATGGCTGTTTTACTGGATCAAATTTTGATTCTCTACCACCTCTTCTCTCTCTCGCTCAGTTATGATACTTATATTTTAGTTCTCCTTTGCTCACCAATTTTGGTTTTTTTAACCACTTAGTTAAGCCTCCTTAAGTATACTCCTACAGATAAACACACACCCTTTTAGTTATGTGAAAGTACTATATGAAAGAAAAGCAACCAAGTAACAGTAATAACAAACCCCCCTTTTAAAAATTTTTTCTTGTTCCTAGTTACTTGTGGGAAGTTCTTATTCTATTTCCTTATTTTCCTTCATTAGTTCACCCTGTGAAAAAAAATAGACCATAATCATGGCTAAGAAATGCAAAAGCAGCATCAAGGATTCATTTATGAGAAGAAAAGGAAAGCCATAGTTGTAAAGAAGTGATACTACACTTAAGTGTCAGGGACATTAATTTGTACAATCTTGAAAGAACCTAAACATCATCTTTAGAAGCTTCATAATTAAAGGACAGTGGGAAATATGGGAAAGTTAGCTTGGGGAGAGCCTCAAGTACCTGGCTAAGGAGTTTGAACTTTTTCCTAGTGGCAAGGGGGATACAGTGCAGTTGTTTTGAGCAGGGAGAGATAATGAAAGCAGTATTTTAGTAAGATTAATTTAGCATAATGATGCCCAATGGATCTGAATGGGAAAAGACAGAAAAGTATGGAGTTAAGAAGCAACAATGATAGTTCAAGTTTTAAGACAAAGGGATTGAAACTAAGGTATCTGTAGTGAGCATGGGAAGGAAGCAAGATATGCAGTGAGAAAAATCAGTAGGTCTTGCTGACTGAATTAGAGGTGAGAATTGTGGGAACGGGAAACTAAAGGAGATTCTCAGTTTCTAGAGTATGGTTGCCTGGGAGAAACATAGTAGCATTAACATATCAAATAATTAATGATGATTTTACTTTTAAATGTGCTGAGTTTGAGATTGTAGTAACATATTCAAGTGGAAATATCTGGGACATGGTTGGGACTTAGTAATCAAAGTTTGATACAGATATTTGAGAGTTACCCAATAGGGGTTAGAATTATAACTAAATTTAAATTAGTTAAATAAGTCAACAAACACTTGTCGTCTGCCTTCAGTGAGAGTATATGGTATCTCTGAGTAAAAGTATATAATAACAGAAGAGCAGAATGCTGAGGACGTAACTTTAGACCTTTGGGTATTTCTCAATTAGATGACAGAAAATGACAGAGAACCAGTAAGAAAGAATGAGGAGGAGGAGTCAGAGAGAAAGAGGAGAAGATAATATAGACTAATAAGAGCTAAGAGAGGAGAAAATTTCAAGAAGGAAGTTAAAGAGAATGAAGACTGAGTAGATGCTGAGGGATCTAGCACACAGGAGGTAATTAATGCTTTTCATGCGATGAACTCACCATTAAATAATGGCTAAATAATGAAAATTATTTTCTTTAGTTCAAGTCAACAAATATTTATTGGCTGTCATAGATGTTTTCCCTTCATCTTTCCCAAATTGAGTAGAGGTTCACAAAAATCAGATCTATTAGATACAGTTTCTTTGAATGATAAGGGAGATAAACAAGAGTCAGGGCAAGGCTGATTCCTAAAAGGAGCCAAAGAGAAACTATCATTTTCTTAGACCTATATTTTAGTTCATAGTATAATTCTGTCAAGTGGGAATAATTTTAAGGAGTTACTTCACTATCTTGAGGAGTCTTGGTCAACCACATTAAACTAAACTCTGCCTGGCCAATAGAATATGATGCTGTTTAAAGATTGTTGTTTGGTTAAGGGATGAGCTTAAAGTTTGGGTCATATTTTTAAAAAGTGACTAATTTTGGAACTGAATTCTTTGAAATTTTGCTGGATATAGAGATTTTATTCAGCTAAAGCTCCATTTTACATTAAAAAAAAAAGTGATCTGAAGTGAAAAAACTAATGGAACTTAAACTTTCCTTTTGACCACTGAACTCAATAGCAGCTGTGGAGAAAGAAAATTAAACTTTTAATATCTGACTCTTTGGGTGGAGCATTTAGCTTGTTTTTTGAAGATAATTTGGTTTTTAAAATATTCATCAGTTTCATCTCTAAGTTTTAGCTATTTGTGGCTCAGCTGCAGCAAATGTAATTTTTTCACTTCTTCAAATGTTACTGAACTGTCCTTGTGCCCTGAGGTTGTGTCCTGAATGGAGCCAGTTCCAGAAGATGATAAAAGGGCTGAAGTAGAATGTTGGAAAATAGCTTCTTACCTACTTTCCTTTGGAAGATTTAATTATTCCTGGAATTTTATTACAGAAGCTGAAAAGGCAATCTACCAAGTACAAGACAGACAAAATCTATCCCACAGCTGTGGCTGAGATGCCCAAGAATATCAAGAAAAACAGATACAAGGATATCTTGCCCTGTAAGTTCCATTTCTCCCTATAAATTTGTACCTTCTCCCAAATTCAACCATTCCTATCTTCGTTACCCATTGCTGTTCTTAATCCTGGAACATGGCTTTGGCAAGTTAGTTATACTCCTTATGGCTGCAAAAGAGCATTCATTCATTCATTTACTCACTCACTCATCACTTTTAAGCATCCACTATTCAGTGTTAGGCCTCAACTTAAGGAAACTCTCTAAGACTGCTTAATGACACTGTGTCTTTCTTTTCTATTACAGATGATCATAGCCTGGTAGAGCTGTCCCTGATAACCTCTGATGAGGATTCCAGCTACATCAATGCCAACTTCATTAAGGTACACTGAAAGGAAAGAAAAGCAATTCATATTTCTCTAGGTACCTAAAAAATAGGGGAAAAGCATGAGGCAAGAATAAGATACTATTTGTAGTCATCGTATGTAATTTCTGTCTCTCTTTAGGGAGTTTATGGACCCAAGGCTTATATTGCTACCCAGGGTCCTTTGCCTACAACTCTTCTGGACTTCTGGAGGATGATTTGGGAATACAATGTCCTGGTAAGTGCAGAGCTGTTATTTTATGCCTTAGTTTTTAGGGATAGGAGGGGTAAGGGGTCAGGAAATACATGACTAAGCTTTCTTGTCTAATTAAACTAATGCTTTTTTTGGCTCTTTGATGGAATTTCAGTGTTCAGGCACCTTTTAGTCAAGGTCACAATGTCACTCTTGCTCAAGGAAATGAAAATTCTCACCTTGACAGGCTCATTTGGTAACAAGAAGTTAATTTACTGACTTGAATAGAGAAGAGGGAAGTGGAGACAGAAAGAAGGAAGGGGAGGAGCAACATTCTATAATCTATCAGTATTTCTTTTTTTTGTTAAAAACAAAGCAAACCAGGGAAAAGACAGTCTCTTTAGCAAATGGTGCTGGCATAACTGGATATCCATCTGCAAGAAAATGAAACAAGACCCATATCTCACATTATGCACAAAAACTAACTCAAAATGGATCAAAGACCTAAATATAAAATCTAAAATGATAAAGATCATGGAAGAAAAAGTAAGGACAATGCTAGGAGCCCTAATACATGGCATAAACAGAATAGAAAACATTACTAACAATGCACAAACACCAGAATAGAAACTGATAACTGGGAGCTCCTAAAAATCAAACACTTACGCTCATCAAAAGACTTCACCAAAAGAGTAAAAAGCCTACAGACTGGGAAAAAAATTTTGGCTACAATAAATCTGGTCAGCATCTAATCTCTAAAATCTACAAGATACTGCAGAACCTCAACAACAAAAAGACAAATAA